TTCAAAACTTCCAATCTCCCGATCAAAAGCCTTGCTGCCAGATGTAGTTAATTAAAAAAGTAATAAAGAAAAAAAAAAAAAAGAAAAAAAAAAAGAGGAATTACCTCTCTAATAAGATACACTATGCCTCATTATTTACGCTCGGACTACTTTCATCTTTGTTGTTATTATCACAACGTTTTGGCCGTCGTTCCTTCATCAGATGCTTGCCGATTCAAGTAACTCCAAGAGAATTTTGAGCTGAACGCGAATTAATACCCGAACGGATCAAAGCGTTGATTTACGAATTTGGTGACAGTAATTGTGAGTTCAATCCCTGGACCGAGTAGTGCGGACTTGAATTCGGTGGAAACAAGTCGAGCAATAACTGAACAGTACTAAATAAGAACAAGACGAGGTTTCCCTAAACTCGGACAGTGGAATGAGAACAATCTACTCCCTGTAGATTAAATGAAGGTAGATTACTAAAATCAACGAGTACTTGATGAAGGCCGGAGACCACATCAGACGAAATGTTGCAATCGCGACGAAGGAGATAATCATGTGAATAGAATGTGAAAATCTTCCACGTGCGGCGTATTCTCATTCTCCAAACCTGTTACCTTCAGACTATCACCAGTTTAGCACATTGAAAAATCTTTGACTAGTCAGCAATTCCAAAAAGTTCAAAATATGGAACCATTCCTTGAAGAATTCAACGAATCTAAACAGATGCAAAGCCTATCGCTACTCTATCGCTATTTCCTTGGCAAATATTCAGATGAGAGATTAATCGTTATCGATTGGCCGGCTAAAAGTCTCACATAGAAAACTTATGGAAGACTTTTGGACAAAATGTCATGGCTAGGAATCGATCAGATCTATGGGAAAAAATTACAGGAGGAATCGGCTAAAATTACAGCTGACGAATGTCAAAATTTAGTGAAATCCTGTGTATATTGATGTTCATCGATGATTCAAAACAAGCGTTTTAGCAGTAAATATTGACAAGACATTTTGTATTTTGTTGTCCAATTATTTTTTTATTAAAAACATTGTTCTGTTCATTAATTTTGGACACTTGATATTTGAGTATAAAATTAAATGAATCACCTCTCTCTCTCTCTTTTCTCTCTCTCTCTCTTTTCTCTCTCTCTCTTTATCTCTCTTTCTCTCTCTCTCTTTTCTTTCTCTTTCTCTCTTTTCTCTCTCTCTCTCTTTTCTCTCTCTCTCTCTCTCTCTGCGTCTCATTCCAAATAACTTACAGATTTAAAGCACTACCATTTCTCTACATTTAGCGAAAAATTTTTGAAAAATTGGACTTATATTTTTAAGCAGATAGATTTTATTAAGTAGATACTATATTATATTATACGTAGAAAAAATAGGCGGACGTTGGGTCTTAAGTAGTTTTTATTCGCAAAAAAAAAAAAAATAAATAAATAAAAAAATAAAATGCCCGGATCAGTTTAATTCGTGTTCCTAAAAAGTGTAAAATCGTCGAATGTCGGGTACTTCAGGAGTTTAAGGGTCAGCCCTGTTTGCAATAGAAATTCATAGTAAATCGACCCACCAAGAAGTATTCAACATTTAAAATCGGTTTCTAACACTATTACGGTTACGTATTCGATATATTTTATATCTAGGGGTTCCTAATATCCGATAAGACTCGACTTGTATATGAAGAAATCCTTAAGAAGAGTGTTTTTTAAAGTTTTAGATTATGGCGAATTAAGGACTTCAGGAATTAATCCAATTTTTAAGTAAATAAAATCAACTAATGTCTTCGTATTTAAATAATTACCCCCACTCACCCAAAAATGTCGGTGTTTACTTGTTTGTTGCTCTTCTTTTGATAATTTTAACTGCACATTTTTAATTAATAAATTCGCATCAATTACTTGCCCTTGCTTTTTGAAATTTCTGACAGCAATTTGTATTAAAAACTTTGTTTTAATTTTTTTATCTTGCGTTTATCAGTCCAAATAAATTGATTTAATTTACTTTTAATTAATGGAATGAGAAGACGAACGCAGGTATAACTTAACTGAAACTTTATTCGACTGAGAATGAAGTATGTTCGAGTTGGACTTAAATACAGACTACGTATAAGGGGTGATAAGCCATATAACAATAAATAAGTTAAATTTGAATAAATATAAATTGACCATATTTTAAAATGAATCAATTATAAATTAAATTAAATAATAAATAAATTCAAATACTTAAAGGCATAACTAGCATTTTATATTACTTATATAGACTGGTACAATAATATGATCACAATTCAACTGCACTTTTTTGTATCAGATGTCAAAATGGCGTACACAAAGCAATGAAATTCTGATCATTTTGAAGCAGGTTTTAAACAGGACGTCAAAACCGGTGACGTTTGTTCTCAAAAGTCGAAGAAAATGAAATAGTATCTGATTATACTGTTCAAAATGGGTTTAAGTGAAATAAAGTCCTGAAGTGGTCGGCCATAAGTTGTCGATTATTATAGTATAAAATTCAAGGTTGAGGAGAACCTGACCCTCAGCACTCGAAAACTTTCATAAAAAAAACAAAACAAAAAACGAATTTCGAAAAAAATATAATGTGTAGGTTATTTGAGAAGCTCCAAGAAACATCCAGAAACACTTGGAGGATTCACCATGAAATCTCAGTTGATTAAAAAACAAAAACAAAAAACGAAAATACCTTTAATATAGCTTAATAAATAATGGGAAAATTTAATATTAAAATTCAATGTCTATTATTATTTTTACGACAGAATAAAAACGCCATTAGAAATTCACTCTCTTTTAATTTAATTTTACTTTATATAAAAACGGATATCGCTTCATTTCGTGTCTGTGGACGTCAGAATGAAATACAGTGTTGGTGAACAGGCATAACTTCATTTTTTTTTCTTATTATTTTTACATTACTTTTACTCTGCACAAAGCCCGGAAGCCACTCGAGGTAGAGGGTTACGGAGTAAGAGGCACAATTTATACGGATATGTGGAGGAAATAATAGTTAACCCTAGATTTGAACGTTTTAAAACTGTAGTGATTGGGGAAGCATCCACTTGGGAGTCGATTCCATAGAGTAGCGGTTCGTGCAAAAAAAGCTAATCGAGTGGAACTTGCATCTCACCAATGAAATACGTATGTAATGAGGGTGGCTCGCTACAATGGGCGTGGCATGGCGGGTCTTAGCCACGAACGTAAGAACTGGTGGAACTGAGGAATGTCGTTCGTCTGAACACTTTCAGTGGAAATAGCGATAGAGTCCAAAAGTGTCTCCGCGTCCTTGTGGGCGATTGAATTCTTTTCCACCCTACATACCCCTTTTACCATAGACGAAACATCGCAAGCCACTCGCTGTCCTATCGCTATTTCCACTGAAAGTGTTCAGACGAACGACATTCCTCAGTTCCACCAGTTCTTACGTTCCCGCCATGCCACGCCCATTGTAGAGAGTCACCCTCATTACATTCGTATTTCATTGGTGAGATGTAACTTATACCTTCTTCTCACTACATTAATTAAAAATAAAGTAAATCAATATATTCGAGGATTCAACTGCCAAAATATAAGTTATGAATAAAGTCTGGCGAGTTCAACATGTTCATACAGCTGGGGGTTCAAGCCATGAAGATAATTTTGAAATTTGAACAATTACAGGGGAATTTTCAGGTCATAGTTAATGGACATTAGACTATGTTCTAAGGCTTATGATTTTATCATTAAAATGACCTTATTTTAATTTTAAAAAATCTTTAAAAAGAAAATATCGATTTTTTTGAAAAATTCAATGATTAAAAAAAAGTTTCAGTGTCCTCTCTTGGATTGTGGAGCCTGAAGCTTCATTAGTTTCATAGTGGATCCTCACTGAAATTAAGTTTAGTTTCGTCTTCAAATAAATTAAGGTCAAAACAAAAATATCAGAACGTAAGCGATCATGATTATCCATATATTCATTTTTTTTTAATTGTCTGGCACCTTTGGGGAATATAGTGAAGTGATTTCCTATTGCTGTCTCCACGGATTAAAATTCAGAGCAATCCTCCTCTTAGACTGATTGACACTCAAACCCAACCTACTCTGATATTTATTTAATCCATAGATAAAAGCAGGAGAGATGGATTCATGCCTTTCCCAAGGACATTAGTGCAAAAACTGAACGCAGCAGACGGTAATAAATAATAGGCTAATAAATCTTATCTAAACATAATTTTGACAAATAGGTATCTGCTACACATTTGTCTCTTTTTAAGCAACACTGATCTTCCTAAAAGGATAGAAAATTAATTAACAAGTTTGGGGGAGAGGTAAATGTCATCCAAGTGAGAAAAAAAAATCAGGAAAGGTATGAATTTAACCAGTGAACTTTTCAAATTCTGTCATCGCTCGTAATAATGGTAATGATGATTATTAAATTCCCGGATTAACGATTATCATTGCTAAACGACGATCATCATTGCTTTATCACAGTTTATTGTAAAACCGGTAACTGTTGATTTTCAAGTTTTCACACGCTTTTTAGATATTGTACCCAGAATTTCTTATGACTGTACGTGAATTTACGAAGTAAAGTTGGGCTTTACTACAAACATTTGACGATAATGGTAAAGATAGTTGTACGGATGTGCAATTTGAGCGTGAGTGTGCAAGAGTGTGTTTATGTGAGGGCGATAATTTGTGCGTGCATGCCTGTATGTGTGTATCTGTGTGTGTGTGTTTGCATTTACGAGTGTGCGTGCATGTGTGTGCGTGCGCGCATTTAAGAGTGTGCGTGTGTTTGTGTGCACGCGTTGTGTATATGTACGTGCGGGCTTGTCTGTATGTGCGTGTGTGTTTGCGTGTTTGTGTGTGCGCGAGTGGCTGTCTATGCGTGTGTGAGCATATATGAATGCCTACGTGCGCATATCTGTGTATATAGGTGTTTTCGTGTGTGTTTGCGTGTGTGTGTGCGTGCGTGTCAATGCACATCTTTGTGAATTTTACCAGCCTACATCTTATGAAGCTTTCGGCTTACGGCCACATCACGTTGAAACAGCGGTTCCCGTACGATCACCGAAGTTAAGCAACGTCAAGGCTGATCACTATTTAGGTGGGTGACGGCTTGGGAAAACGTAAGCTTGGTTGCGCGGGTGGTGTAATGGATAATGGCTCGGAATTGTTAATTGGAGAGCCGTGTTCCAATTCCCCGTTGGGTTCGTTATATTCACTTACAAGCAAATACTCTTGTGAAAGGTATGAATCCACCGCTCCTCCCCATAGCTATGGGTTAATTAGTGAGACTTATATCACTAAACCATTATTATCTCAACAATAACAAAACATTATTACGATCTAAAAATATTTTTGGGTTTTAAATAACCTGCAAATGATTGATAAGTCGTTGAAAACAAATCAATCGAACAATTTTGATAAAACAGATTGCGTCCGACAGAACGGGCAATAAAGATATTTACCGCGCACATTCATTCTCTAAAAATGAAGAACGTTATTGATTTCTTGATATTACGATCTGTCGATTTCTGAAAAATCAGAACGAGACTCAAGATGGAAGTTGATGTATGTTATAAAAAGTATGCGCGCGTGTATTAATCTGGATTTTTTTTATAATGCAATAATATACACGATTGCAATTCTGGACTAATCAGTTGTGTTCACTTTCACACACCATGGGAAAAGGCATTAATCTATTTCTTTTAGCCCTCCAGCTATGGATTAAACAGCAGAGGAGACCGGACCCTTTAGCTTTGGCTGACAAGTAGTCTCAGAGAAGGAAAACTCAAAATTCTAGCTCTACTATCGTTCCGAAGAAAACATAGTAACTCACGGATAATAAAGAAAAGGAATCTGGAGATAGCCACGATCGTTTACGTCTTGAACAGACATCTATATATAAAATTCTGTGATTTCCGTTAGTCCGCCTGTCACACCCTCTAAAAGAGCCATTGCTAGTTGGTACGGTCTTCAATGTGTGTCCACCCGCCATTATAGGCATCTCTATATAAAATTCTGAGACTTCCGTTAGCCCGTCATACTCTCTAAAATAACCATACATTGACCGATCTAAACTAAATTTTTGGGAGAAGTACAGACAGATGTGGGGTACAAAGTACAATTGGTTTTACTAGGGTGCGTAGTTTAGGACAATCAATTTTAATTATTTTCTTTTGAAAAATTAAAAGTTTTAATATTTAACATACAAAATACACCCACTATTCTTAATATAATTTAATGATTAAAATAACAAATACTTAATAAAAATGCAATATTGTTTTTTTTTGATTCTGTAAGTTTTTATACACAAGAATCCAGTTTCTAGTTCGCCATGCGTTTGCGAGAACTATATAACTATAAACAAATCACAAGGCCAAGCGGTTAAAAATTTGGAATTTGTCTTCAGAAAGAAATATTTACGCGTAGCCAGTTGTATGTTGCATGCTCAAGAGTAAGAATTTAGTCTTTGCTGTTAAAAAGGAAAAAAAAAAATTTCTTAAAAAATATTGTTTACCGTGTAGTCTTATAAAATTAAATTAAATTAAAGAAATTATTAAACTGTTTCCCCAACAAATCAACTTATGCAAATTTCATCGATTGGTTTACAAATTTGAACAAAATGTAGAGTTTGTAAATTTCGACCAAAATATGTTAGCGATAACTTTAACAATACTAAATACTGTGAGGATATAAACACACGTAAAACGTGTTGCAAAAAAATTCTAGTGATATTAAAGATACGTACATTTCAATTTACTATTTACTTTGAAAATAACATTATATTTTTTTTATTAGTTTTTTAGAAATAAATATTTTTTTCTTGTCTATGCTTTAGATTCTACGCTAACTAAAATCATTACCATATTTTTTTCTTTTCAAATATCTTTCTTTATTTTTTTAAGATATTTACCCGAATACTGTGTGTGACTTTTTTTTGAAATCACGGGCTGTACTTTATATGTACAAAGTGAATTAAATATTTCGTACAAAAGGAGTTAAACTATCCAATTTTCGGGCTGTGGTCCATGCCTTCCGTTCCGAGCAGACAGAGAAATTAACGTTAACAGCTACACTGGTATTTCCCCACTGGGTATTGTTCGTTTAATTCCTAATTCTTTTTGTTCTTTTATCCCCTCCCACTCTTTCCCCGCCAGCAAGAAAAAAGTATTGCTCATTATCAAAGCTGATACTTACCTGTGTTAGTATTGCATCAATTTATTATACTTACATCATGATTACAAGGAAACAGTTGCTGGTGAGGCTCAGTGGTAGAACGCAAAGCAACAGGTGGCAATTATTAACTCTAGTTTTATGGTTAGTTATTATTAACTAAGTGTAGCTTGCTCTTGGCGCGAAATCACAAGTATGAACCAACCAGCGTGGGTTGTACTCACTACCAATTACTTATAAGACCAGATTACTGAGAAATAGACCATAATAAGTTTTTTGGTTGGTTAGTCTCAGGACCAAGGAAATCGTAGTGCGTCATATTGGGTTCTTTAGTCTATGGTATCACTAATAAGGTAGAGAGAGTTGTTTTTTTTAAATATTGGCCACCCAAGACCAACTCAAAGTTTAGTAAATGAGGATGTTGCAAAGGCATACAGGGAGGAAACATACGTTGCATATCATGAGAGGATATGTAAGATAGATAATGGCTGATCCTAGAATTGAATTGGAAATTCTCCCTCATTAATGAAGGGAATGAGGATGAATCGGCGTAGTGTACGTGGGTTCTAGTTGTGAAGGTCTGAACTGGTGGAACTAAGTAATGTAGTTCGCCCGAACATCTGTCATGAAAAAATAGCGATAGAGTAGCGAGATATTAGCAACATTTCCTCTGTGGAGAAAGAGGTAGTAGAGTGGAAAACAATTCATCATCTACAAAGCTGCCCAAATGCTTTTGAATTCAGTCAAGGCTGGAAAAGAAGTGCTGGGCAGCCCCGGCTCAGATGTAGCAGCAATACTCCATTTTGTTTGTCTGATCTGGCTCTTATAATGATAAAAAAAAAAATGGGAGAAGGAGTCAGGTACTTTCTGGAGCGTTACATTGAGCCGATCATTTTTGCAGCATCTTTAGCAATGGATCGTATATAGGAGTTCCAATTGAGGTTTTGCTGTGAGCCTGAGTCCAAATAGACACTCCAAGCATGAAGACTCATTGAAAGTACAACTGTTCATCATGACTGGAAAAATGTTAGGGTCTGCTCAGGGGTGATGAAACGTTATTAGTAAGGCTTTGGCGATATTGAAAGTTACAAACCAGTTCTCCACCCACTGAACTGTCCGAGCAAGATCAGAGCAGAGATCAACTGTCAAGTTCTTCTCATCAAGATTTTTTGGTTATGTTCCCATAAACCGTGTTATCATCTGCATATATATATTTATTTATGATCTGAGAATATTCTTAGATCGTTAATATATAACAGTAAAAGTGAATATGACACTTGGGTGTATGCAGTTCTTCTCCAAGTAGGCACATAGTATTGGGTTATATGGTACTAGTAGAAGGGAAGAATCCTTGGTCAGACTGCAGTTAATTCATTATGGAGGTTAAAACCATGTATTTGAAGAGTGACCAGGAATTTTTTCTCAGAGGATCTGTCTAGAAATAATGAAGTTGGTGATATTCTGTAGCATATGTCAGTGTTCATTATGGGACCTTAAAATTTTTTTTTTACTTCCAACTTCTAAAGCAAAAATAATGATATCTTGCTCTCTGTCTCTGTCTTTCTGTCTGCCTGTCTCTATCCCCCTGTGCTGAGCGTTTATTGCAAGGCATCTACAAAAACATTCATGTCCACATTCACAATATAAAAATTACTAATCGACAACACAACTATCCTACACCATGAAAACAACAAATTCAGATTACAGATAGTAGAAGTAATTAAAGCCTGCACTGAACAGAATCAACTATGAATACTATAGTAATGTTCTGAAATGCCTGTAAAAGAACAGTTTTTTTCACGCTTTAATGCGCGCATGACTATGGCATTATAACATAGAGAGAAACAAATTCCATAATGGATAAATTTTTCACGTTCTAATGAACGCTCAGCACATTGTCAACCGTTTTGCATTTAAAAGCATAATGAAAAAAATTACGGTAATGGATAACAACGTATAACTTTTTATAAATACTTGTATCCCTGAACAACATAGAGTTTTTTATTATTTGCATCCCTGAAGATGATCTTGGAAGAAGATCGAAAGTACTTGGGAAATGAAAATAAAAAATTTAAACTATAGCATATTTCTCTTATCCTTCAATATCAATACACGGAAGGTTATTCGTGAGTATAAACGAAAAATAGCAGACATAATGTCTGTAATTTATTCAATCAGAAATGGCTAAAAGAGAATTTGCTACCTAAATACACAAATTTTAATATATATATATATATATATATATATATATATTAGGAGAAAGAAGTATGAAAAAGTGGAGAAAGTTTTCGTGTGACGCGTTTCATCCTTTAGGATTTTATCGAACGAAGTGGTAGCTTTGTTGTTTCGCCTACACATGCGCACAAATTTTAGAGACGCTGGGAATTTTAAATTAATTTTTTTTTTAAATATGTGTTTTGGGTATGTAATCTAGCCGATTTAATTTAGATTTCGCTTGTTTTGTTTATGTTACCATCACACTTATTATCAAATATCTCACATTGTGATAATAGAAGATCTGTCAAGTCCGATAAAGGCCTAAATGAAACACCTCAAACGAAAACTTATTCCACATTGTCATATTTCTTTCCCTAAAATTGTTCTTCATATATAAAAAATTATATACAATTATCCCATATATATATATATATATATATATATATATATATATATATATATATATATATCCATTACATTCAGTTACGTGCTAATACCTTTAGAAGAGGTATTAATCCTCCTCTTCTCCCTCCAGCTATGGATAAATAACAGGACAGACTGGGTTCTATAGCCTTGGATGGCAACTGGTCTAGGAGAAGGAAAACTCTGGATTCAAAACCTGCTGAGGGTCGTTTGAGGACCTTGTGGCACGTAGTGCACCAGGTCTCTATATTCAGCCCTTCAAAAAGTGTGGATGCTTCTGCACAAAACCTTCACAATTATAATCAAATTA